CCACTAAGCAATGAGTCGTAGTTACATATGATGCTCGGAAACCCTTCAGATAGAACCACTAAGCGATGAGTCGTAGTTACATATGATGCTCGGAAACCCTTCAGATAGATCAAATAAGCAATGAGTCGTAGTTACATATGATGCTTTGAAACCCTTCAGATAGAACCACTAAGCGATGAGTCGTAGTTACATATGATGCTCTGAAACCCTTCAGATAGAACCACTAAGCGATGAGTCGTAGTAACATATGATGCTCGGAAACCCTTTAGATAGATCCACTAAACAATGAGCCGTAGATTGGTATGATGTACGGAAACCCTTTAGACAGATCCACTAAACAATGAGCTGTAGATTGGTATGAAGTACGGAAACCCTTAAGACAGATCCACTAAGCAATGAGCCGTAGATTGGTATGAAGTACGGAAACCCTTTAGACAGANAGGATCAGGCACGGATTCTCTCCATTTAGATAAGCCACCTCCCCGATATTTCATCGTACAAATTACGGGGCAACACTAACAAATACAATCATCGAAAATTCTATATATAATTGCATTCACTTACATTATTCTGACGAAACTTTCTGAGATAAGAATGGATCTGTATGTGTGGTATAAATCCAATTAGAGCTCTATTAGTCGTATTAACTATGGTGTAGATAGATAATGATGAGGTATGAGCGCAGACGTTAGAGGTTTATCAAGCCATGGCAGTAACAAGAAAACCCCTATTGATGCACGCTATATTTCACTCGCTGTGTATTTGTTCTGTTTACCATTATATATAAGGGATTAATCAGTTGTCGGCGAACATTTAAACTACTACATCAATGTCAGTTTAAGTCCAATGTTTAGAGGCTTTGAGAAGAAGCAGAGTCGAGGTGTACAATATACGCGACCTGTAGTCGCTACTGAATACCGGACTCCTTAATTCATACAGTTTAGTTGGTGGTTATCATACACTGTAATATAATCCATAGAATATATCGTATTCAAAATACATGCTATATATGAAATTACTTATATGTTTCACTGGGGAAAAGCACCCGGAAATTGAAAAAAAACACCCGTTCAAAATGGATGGCAAAATCAGACTACCATCACTGCTATCTCTACTGTAAATATATACCTCCTTCTGCAACAGTTGTGAAACAAGTTTTCTACCACAATAGGCGGGTGATATTCAACTCCAAAGGCATCAATTAATCATTACAACACATTGTTTATACCATGCGCGTACTTGTTATGATTTGTAATAAATCATAATATTTCCACATATTCTGAAATTGTCATTTTTGCATATTAATTAGCGGCTTTTTACTACAGGTCATATCCATACGCCCCATCTGATATCGTAAACAAAACACATATGCATACAGAACATGTCAATTTCCTCGGAATATTTTTTATTGTGGTAGAAACCTAAAGCATCTCTGATTTCCTGAGACTAGTAAGAAAAGAAACTGGGGAAAACGGATAAATAGTTTTTCTGCCTTTTCAATATTCAATAACAGTTGAAGGGTGGGAAACAAAACAAATATCCCACCATTCCCTACTCTGTCATGTAAAATATAATTTCTGATACGGTAATTTAAGTTAATATTGAAGTGCTGCAACAAAGGAGGTCATTTTCACTCGCTTACATTATCGACAAACAGTAACAAAAAAGGTCTAGACATTTGTATGCAATGCTTCATTTCTGTCAAAACAAGTACAATATGTACATGTATGAGATGATGTTATTCAGGTTATACATCCCATTTTATCAGTACACTGTGTTCTGTTTAACTCTTTCTCTCCCAATCACAGCTTTTGAAGTAAAATATCGTGATTGTGAAATATATTCAATTCGGATAAAGGCGAGAAGGCTTCTAACCCGCAGTCTATTACACTTAATTGGTTTCTCGATTTCATTTCTATGTTCTCAACAAAATATCTAACTGACTATGTCACTCCTTACATCATCTGAAAAATAATGAAGTTTGTTATGAATTGAATATGAACGTGTATCTATCTATACAGACAAAAACAAGCTCTGACAAAGTTTCGTAATACGTCATTAGTTTTGATGTCGTCAGCCGTGTCCATTGTAATGCTACTGTGTATTGTAAATATATCTGTGATAGTTGTTGGACAGATATGGGTGTCAGTTAAATGGTTTCATACAATCGCAGATTTAAAAGTTGATGTTGTTTAATATCTTATCAGTAGGATCCTAATTGGATTATAATTAAACCTAGTGGAATGTGACGGACACACAAGGACATATTGTTTTCGTAGTTGTTTGTTTGTTTACTTTCTTATTTTAATTTTATTGTGGCAAATAAAGATGTGATAGACATTTGTGCACACATACTTTTTCAATTTGTTTTTGTTACCTCATGTCATTTTAACATGTAATTGATACGATTTCAGTCGATCCGCTTATTGTCAAGAGCACTTTATATTGAACGGATGAATATATATATTTGTTTTTGAAGAATAAAACATTAATATTATACATTTTTGTTCGTTTTTGTTTAAATCGATCAATTAAAGCTAACAACTATTATACGATTAACTAAGTTACTATCAACAATGAAATTCAGGGTTAATAGGATGGTATCCAAGAGTCTGATAAAGGAGAACTATGGGTCATGTATCAGAAATATAACGTATGTATAAGTTAAGTTCATTTATTTGTTGGTTTGTGATATGGTACTTTCGGTGGACTAGGAAATATCACTTTGATCTAATATCTCATTCCGTGAAAATATATATACAAAACTGTATTAAAACTGAAAAGTCAACTTATCAACAAAATTAAATTATCTGGGCATTCCTGGAATGAATGTAAGGAAAATCGATACTTTATCGCGATCCAAACGTTTCAACCGGTTCGACCAGAGTTGTCCGTTGATGAAATAAGGTCGAACCTAGTAATCTGATGCTGCTTTCAGTTGAGCACTGACCAATCCGCCAGGATTTATGTACTCGAAAACGTCACCTCAAAAAACAGACAAACCCGTTGTTGCGCAGGGTCGGAACCCAAATATGATGGTCGTTTAGTTTATTTGACACCGGTTGTATTTAAAGCGTCATCATGATAGCGACTTTCAAGCGCTTGAGTCATAACGATCTACGGCTTCCTTGGTTACGCTACCGTCAATCGTCAGACTAGACATTTACTTTTTCAATTAATCAGAAAATGACGGCCCACAGTATGGGCGCCTTTGGTGCCTACAAATACGCGTATAGTAGATACTTAAAGGAGCGGGGAGACATGGAAAGGGAACGAAAGGAAATAGAGGAAGGACCGGAAACAGTGTGGGTAACGAAGCGCTACATTCCCACTGACCTACGTGTTACTGCCCCAGTTCCCCGCCATAAACTTTTAGCGCCGAAAGTACTTCCACAGGCAGAGACCCATTGGGTCCCTACTATTGATCCTCCTCTCAGAAGCTATGATAGAGGTCCAGAGGCTGCTATATTCAAATCCCACCCCAGCACGCGATGTGAGGAGTATTCTACCCTGAAGCAAATGCTGCCTTCTAACGGAAGTCTGATCAGAGTCGCTCCCCCAAACTGGGGTACAGCTGGAGGGGTACCTGTCTTTCACTCCTTTGTACCATCACGGCGATACCCAATGATCAACAGCCCAATGACCACGTAAGTACACACTTTTGTGTCGGTGAAAAGCTCGACAGAGCTTTTATATGTTATTTTTTAAAACAAATTTTAACAAGACACACACTTCTGACATTAGTTCTGACAACTGACTTAATTAAAATACCATGAACACTATAAGTGAATGACATCCCAGCTTGTTTATCTGATGGGCAGACAGTGTATGCTATATCATGCTATCTTTATAGAGACCAGTACAAAGGTTACCAGACATTGTATGCTATATTATGCTATCTTTATAAAGACCAATACAAAGGTTACCATACATTGTATGCTATATCATGCTATCTTTATAGAGACCAGTACAAAGGTTACCAGACATTGTATGCTATATTATGTTATCTTTATAGAGACCAATACAAAGGTTACCCACAACGTCTACATGTTTAGTAAAAACAATGTTTGCGCGTGATAATAACAAAACCATTGGATTTGCACCATTTACGGAGTAAATATCTGTGAGTACAGTACAACATAAAGTACAGCTTATTTGCAGTCAGACTAGCAGATTGATATCCACGACATCCCAAATTTTCATTCTATCATGCCCGACCAAACAAATGAGCTGCACCGGTTTACTGTGTTGATGTCATTTCTCTACAATTTGAAATCAGAATGAACTCGGTTTTTATGCTAAGGTCGGATATGAAAACTTGATCAATACATGAAGTTCGTATGAAAATACTAAATTTATTATTATTTTCGTTTTTGCTGCATCCTCAACTGTTTTTCGTTGCAGATATGTGGATGACATGCACACAACCAATAAACTTTTCAAACTACATTGATGAAGGATGGATGTCTAAAACCGATCAAACAGAAGATGCATACTCCAACTTCACCTTTCCGTCCATTTAACCAGGGTCCTGTGTCGCCACATTGTGTGTTCCTCCTCATTTTCTTTGTAAATCTTGTATATATATATTTACATTTTAGAACCCTGCTCAATCTTACCATATATGCAACAGTATGCTCCACACAGAGTTTGTGTAACTTTGCTGTCATATCTATGCACAGAGTAAAGAGATAAACTAATCATGTTAATGATAACCCATCAGTATTAGCCTTACTAGTAGTGAAGGCACGTTGTTGAGTATATCCGTTTTTTAAACATACCCAAGTATTTTTGAAATCCTATGCCGGTTAAATAACATATTTAACATGTACAGTACTTTAATTTAATCAGGAATTCCAAATTCCAAATTTCTTCCCGATATATCAGTATTACATACATTTTTAGTCATTTTCTTTGTATATATTGCAAAGCCCAATTCAATACGTTTTTTGTAGTCAGTATTATAGATGTCTGTCCACTAAGCTTCTATTTGATGACGCACTGCTAGGTCGTGCTCATACCAAACATGATACCTTGGGACAGTGTTGTTGTTGTTGTTGTTGTCGATCTTTGCTGTGATATATTTAGAGCCGTTTATTTGGTGCTTCTATATATACTGCTCCTGTTTTCATTGTTGTGCTTTTTCATAGATATATATTTATACACCTACAAGTATTACAGAATATAAGATACAGTTTTGTATCAGTATAAGACAGTTTGGTTTACATTACTGTTTAATGCAATACATATAATTCTAACACAAATGATAAAAAAGGTAAAAAGTAACCGTTGAGTTATAAGGTGAATGTCATCAGCGAACCAAGGGCGACTAACTTTACCGATCAATCAGTTTAAGTTTTAATACAAACATGTATGGAACATTTTCAAATCATAATGTTTGTTTTTAGGATGTTTTCATTTTAAAGTTGTTTTGTTTACATCCTAGTGAATGTTTAACTCCTGTTATGTTGCTGTCATTTATTGGTAATTATTAGGACCGAGTTGTTATGTTTTCACTCATTTTATTTTCCGTTGAAGTGTACATCCTCAATTATAATATGTATTAGTTTAAACATTTTTTTTGCAATTTCTTTCTTGTTACCAGTGAGTAGTTGGCATGAAAAACAAACTATAAACTCATTTTCTAACCATGGATAAAAATTGAAAAGAACGCTATATTGACTCTCTTAATATGGCGAAAAAGAATTATAAAAAATAATGACTGTTTTTAATCCCAATACTTTCTATTTTGGAAGTCAATTTGTTTTCTCTATGTATCCTATATATAGTCATGTACCGTGTTGATATTTTGATATAAAACAATAAAATATTTTTCCACATTTTTCTTTGTATTATTTGCAAGTCAGCTACATAGGTCAAAGAAGAACATATATATGTTATATCGATTGTAGATTCCCACATAACACTGGATCCTTACAATTGAAGCTGGAAGAAAAGACAGCATTTTTCTTCACGCTTCAGCTTCCCGGTATTTTCCTAGCTCTTCGTCGTTGATCGCTCATTCACATAACCACTGGTCAAAGATGCTGACAGTGTAAATTCTACATTCGGCTTACACTACTAGGCCAGGGATTATTGTTGTCAAATATTGGTTATATAACATCCTACTGTATTTCTCTGTTGTTAAAGGAGCGGATCGTTCCGAAATTTTGACAACCTTATTTATGTTACACTGTTTGAATTACTGTCTTGTCCTATATATAGATATGTATTGTGTGAACTAAACTTCACCGTCTGAAACGTTATCAGATACGGATATGTTCAGGGCGAATGTCCTGTCCAGGAGAGATATGGTAAATTCGACTTTGTGTGCAAACGAGATAGGGCCAGGGTGAATCCTATGGGCTCATGAGACAATCGGGGCGAACCTAGTGTGGTGGGGACTTATGGTTAGGGCGAATCTGGTGAGCGAAGGAGATATGGTCAGGTTGAATCTTGTGTGCTCGGGAGAAATGGCCTGGACAAATATCGTGTGCTTTGGAGATATGGTCAAGTTGTATTTCGTGTGCAGGGAAGATATGGTAAGGGCGAATCTCGTGAGTGAATGAGATATGGTCAGGGTCAATCTCACGCGCTCAGGATATGTGGTCAGGTCGAATCTCGTTTTAGTGAAGATGTGCTCAGGGCGGCTTTGTGTGCAGGGGAGAACAGAATCAATGACTTTCTTTTTAAATCACAAAGTTAATTATTAAGTCATGATCTAACTATTATAATTACTCCAAAGTTATCACAAAATCTCTTACCCCACATGATTAGAATACTAGATACATTGTATTCTAAATAGAAGTGTATACAGCACAAATGATAGCAAGGGATTGGCCAAAGTAGTTGTTAAGCTACACACTTTTTCTTCAAGGGGATATGAACAGAATAGTATCAACTGTATATGTGAGTATATATTCACGTAGATGGTATTACTGGTGTTAAGTATTTAATTCCACGTCACTCCACAAGACTTGTACAAGTCCTATGTAACCCATACAATTAAGCCGTTTCCTGTGGATTTGGGATCCACATTTTAAACAAATTTCCCGATCAACATATATACAAGTATTTAGTTTTTTATCTATCAACATATTGACCAGTGTTAAAGTATCTCGTTTTATTATAAACTATTATTGTCGATGTAAGTCTTCAGCTGTAGGTCTGGGATAGGTGTTAAACTGACAGTGACCATAACGTAGCAAGTATAGATCAGAGCGAAGGGGTTCGACGCTCAGCAGGGACTGAAGTAATGTTGAAAAATAGTTTAATATCAATTCCTAGCTCACAGTATCTTTTTTGATTCTATAAAGTATAATTAACACCCATGTCAGTCACATTTAAAATATTTACAATTTCTGCGAGAAAAAAAAGAAATAGTACATTGTTATAACCTTAAGCAATAACTTCTGTCACTGATGAGCGTCAAACCCAATAGACTTATTAATCGATAGAGATATCATTCTCAATAAGGGAAACTACACAAATTAAAAAAAAATAAGTCTAGGTTACCACCTTGTGTACAGTACATGCTAGTTATGCTAGGAGTACTGTATGCGTTCACACTACAAATCGATGTATGTTATCGCCTCATGTCTCTTAAACCTTTGTTAGACAGCTTAGTTTTCTTCTGTGCCAAACTTGAATTTGATTAACTGCAAACAATACAACGCAACAGCCGGCGGATCTGTAGAGCATGAGTCGATCGATTTGTTTATTTAGATTTCAGTGATAATTCCAATCGATTAGTGAAAACTAACACACGTAACAACAAAAATATGTCCACGGGCTACCGTCCTTCGTATACCCGAGGGACGCTTATCAGTATACATGTACATGTATGTTATCTTTGCAAATATATATTCGGCATCCCAGGAACGTAGTAACTTACAGTAAAACAGTCACATGCTTTCACCAATATGGTTAACAAATGTTTGTTTGTATGCCGCTATTTGTACAGATAGTATATAGGCGTGTTGGTACTCCCGTGGTTTGGAATCTGTACAAATGTTATATAGGTGTTTTAGTACTCTTTTCTGTGAAGAATGTCTTCAGTATGAATACCTGTCCGAAGCCAATGATCAGTACAATAAAGGTCTGACCGACAGACCACCACATGACCCCGTTATTGATTACCTCCCCTACATAGCGCCCCATCACCTCTGTAAGTCTGTAGTCCCTCTGATAGTCCACCACCATCGTCATCACCTCGTGTATATTGTCACACGCCGATTCGGCTGCAGTCTTTACCGTGGGTACAGCGTTGCCCGCCTCTACGGCCAAGTTGTCTATCTGTTCTTTGCGCACATCGAAGTAGACAACCTTGTGTGAAAACGCCGAGAATTCGTTGTCGAAACAGAACTGGTATTCTCCGTAAGAACTATCAAACAGGACCTTGTCCTCCGTTGTGCGGTCTGCCCTGTACACCACTTTCCCGTTTGGCGACAGAATCCATACGTTGATGTCGTTATTTCCGCCTCGTAAAACTTTATAAACCAATAATTTAGCTGTCATGTCCCGAAACTTTTCTGTGAAGCACACCTTTTCGGTTTCAGGTAGTTCAAAGGTTAATGCTGTTCCACTGGCTACGGATTCGTAACAAGATAAGAAGAGGACAATCAGTATCCACGGACCATAAGTTAACGGTGCCATTGTGTCATGTAAAAGTGTAGTCGATCTAGCTCTTCTATGTCACGTTAAGTTAGGACCATTCTTGGTGAGCAGGTCACCTCGCCTCCATGCAGTGAACTTGATTACGTGAAGTTGTCCTAGTAAATTCTGCCAACTCGACATACACTACGTTGACGTTTCGTGGCCTGTACAGTAGATCTCAGTACTGTATGAATCTCTACACGTGGTCAGGACCATTACAAGCTGTTTCTTTAGATAATACTATATGCAGCAGATGGCAGATGCATCCTATATAATCAAAACGTCACATTATCTGTGCCGTGTGTCTTGTTATTGATTAGAGGACCGTCTACAAAAGTATGGATGGCCTTCCTTTGCCACACCCAAAATTTACGTAAACTATAAGTACTTTTATTTGTTTAAATTAATTAATATTTTGTGTCTTGAAAGTACTTATCTCCAGAACTTACCTCCAGTCCCAGCCCCGAAAAATCGAGGGGATCGAAACTCACCAAAAAGAATAATGTAAGAAAGGGAAACTTTATTTTAGAAGGAAGGGACACTCTTCCTAAGAAATAATATGTTGTTCCTGAAGGGAAAGGACACTCGTCCAAAGAAAATAATTGTCATAGAAAGAAAGAAAATGTTGTCTCTAAAGGAAAGGGACCCTTGTCCTAATTAAGGAAATGTTGTCGCTGAGAAAAAGGAATTATTATCCCAAAGAAAGGACATGGATACTTGTCATCTAAAAGGAAGTACTGTCAATGAAGGAAGTGGATGTAGTCCCTGTGGCAAAAAATGTTGTCCTTGAGCGAAAAGAAATGCTGGTCCTGTGGGGAAGAGGTATTAGTCATCAAAAGAGAGGATTGTCCTGGAAGGAAAATAAATGTTGTCTTAGTGGGGAGATATCAAATAAAGTAGATTTCTGATTCTCTCTCTATTACCATACAATCTGCATACCGTAAATAGAAATACAGCATGCATACCTTAAACTGTTACACCTAATCTATATAACAAAGCGTCTGATCTGATTATATTGATTACATAACGGGAAATAAAACATAATGTTTTTCTTACGCGATCGAGTTTACCCGGTCATAATATCCCTTAGCTAGGTATCACACCTGAATTCCGAGTAACTGAAGCAGACGACAGCAATGACGTGTAAGCCTGGTCATATCTACTGTTGTGTTATTGTTATATTTCAATATAATAAAATAGCATATTGGCATTGTGGAAAGGAAACACAATTCTTTGTTTCCCCTCTATACATCATTGTCACGTCATGTCGTTTTACGGTCTGAAACAAGCCAAGGTTTAGGACGAATCGTCCAAGTCAAGGATGAACTGTTCTCGGCGGTATTTGAGTTATCACGCACTTGTTACCGGGCATCACACGATTTCATGGCGTGTTGTCGACTAACCGTTTTACTACCATTGTTTTTAATGAAACACTTTCTAACCTTCAAGCACTGGACAATGGACCTGTTTAGTTATTATTGAAATGTATGTGCCCGCAATTTGATCTGACTTTCTAATTTAACCAAATTATGACGAATACTTCAGCTATTTGAAGTCAGTCTTCTATGTCGTTAATGCTGGCGATGATGTATATATTATGTATGGTGTATAAACATGACGAACCGGACATAATGTAAGCCCGGGGATGGCTTTTAACCGAGATCCGGTATGGTAGGCATTTCGCCGCCTTGCCAGACGAGTTCCGTTTGATTACGCTCTCGTTCTGTTGTTGCTCAGTGCGTACGCAATCGCTGATGGCAATTAAATCGCACTGGACTTCAACCGCAAAATACCACCAGACGACGTCCAATAACATAACTACACTGTTAGTACGGATTAACTATCTATATGCAGGTGCAGTGGTAATACATGGTCGAGTAACGCGAGTCCAAAACCATCACAGCAATGACGCAACACATACGACTATATTGCATAACTCTAGACACACAATTAGATTTCGGCCTGTACGTTGTAAAATAAACATATACATATGTCTTCGTGTCTGTTAATCTATGGAACACGTCTTTTTCCTTAAGATGAAGATAAAAATAATGATGCGTTCATCTCAAAACTTTTAAAAAAAAACACCCCAAAAAAACCACCAAACTTTTATTGTCGTTCTACAATCAATCAAATATTCATCATTTCAGACTGTGAATAAAATGCAGTTCATTACTAGTTTGTCCCATAACAATCTATTGGAGAGGTCAATCTGATTCTGTCGTGAGTACAATGAAACAAAAATCATCAGTTGTTTTGCCGAAAATTTGTTTCTGGATCCATTTTCAATAATTAGCTTGTACATGTGTTGCAATTAAACGCAATAAGACGAAGTTTATATTAAGATCAATTACATTGTTGATAACGATATCCTTAGTGGTGCTTTTGTCAGTCACTCAGTAGTGCACTTATAACATAATACACATGCTTAGTCTTCACGCTGGGTAAAAACACACCAAACGTTCTACAGTTCCAGTGTATGATGTAAAGATGGTGTAAATCTTTCTACAAAAAGTCTTGGATTAATAAACATATAAGTTTGCATGACAGCTTTAAGAAACAAAAGCTTGGGTGATTTTAAGGTTTTACTGTAATGATGTTAGACGAAATATAAACATCCCCCGGGTTATCAACAAAGATAAGGGCGGAGTTCGTGGCCAGATCAAGTAGCTTGTCTTATTTTAATCTAAAGCACACGCTGTATAAACGACCCCGTAGAGACCACTCAAAGAGAAATCTTCTACATTATTTTACAATCATCCATAATGTCAAAACTATTCCAAATAATTACAGTATGGAATTGAAGTAGATGCAACGTGTAGGGTATGTTTACAGAGGCTTAGGACATAACCAGGAATGTTGAGTGACTGAAACGTCAGATTATCTCCTCATTACCAGGACTGTCCTTGTAGTGTGTTGAGTGACTGAAACGTCAGATTATCTCCTCATTACCAGGACTGTCCTTGTAGTGTGTTGAGTGACTGAAACGTAAATTCCC